CCAGGAGGTTCCTCAGGTGTATGGATGATAACATCCTCCTGCAAATGGTGGATGAGCCAACCAGGAGAGGAGTGCTGTTGGATCTCATCCTCACTAACAAGGAGGGTCTGGTCGAAGCAGTAAGGGTTGAGGGCTGCCTTGGTTGCAGCGACCACGAGATGGTGGAATTCAGGGTCTTGTGTGGTAGGACTAGTAGAATAGCAAGTATAATTGCAACCCTGGACTTTAGCAGGGCAAACTTTGGCCTTTTCAAGCAATTGCTAGGGGAAATCCCATGGGCAAGGCTGCTTGAAGGTAAAGGGGCCCAAGATAGTTGGTTGGCATTCAAGGATTGCTTTTTCCGAGCTCAAGATCGGAGCATCCCGACACGTAGGAAGTCAAGGAAGAGGGCCAGGAGGCCTGCTTGGCTAAAAAGGGAATTGCTGGGTATGCTCAAGTGGAAGAGGTTAACAGATCATGGAAGGAGGGGCTGGCCACTTGGGAGGAATATAAGGCTGCTGCTAGAGGATGTAGGAAGGCAGCTAGGATGACTAAGGCCTCCTTAGAATTAAACCTGGCGAGAAGGGTCAAGGACAGCAAAAAGAGCTTTTTCAAATACATGGCAGACAAAACTAACACCAGAGGCAATGTAGGCCCACTGATGAACGGGATGGGTGCCCTGGTGACAGAAGATACAGAGATGGCAGAGTTACTGAATGCCTTCTTTGTCTCTGTCTACTCTGCTGCGGGCAGTCCTAAAGAGCCCTGTACCCCTGAGACCTTAGATGAAGTCAGGTCAACGGAGCGGTTTGCCTTAGTCGATGAGGAATGGGTTAGAGACCAGTTGAGCAATCTGGACATCCATAAATCCATGGGTCCAGATGGGATGCACCCGCGGGTGCTGAGGGAACTGGTGGAAGTCATTGCTAGACCACTCTCCATCATCTTTACCAAGTCTTGGGAAACGGGAGAGGTGCCTGAAGACTGGAGGAAAGCAAATGTCACTCCAGTCTTCAAAAAGGGCAAGAAGGAAGACCCGGGTAACTATAGACTGGTCAGCCTCACCTCCATCCCTGGGAAAGTGATGGAACACCTTATCCTTGGTGCCATCTTAAGGCATATCAAGGATAAGAGGGTTATGAGGGGCAGTCAACGTGGCTTCACCAAGGGGAAATCATGCTTGACCAATCTCTTAGCCTTTTATGAGGAAATAACACAGTGGATGGATGATGGCAGAGCGGTGGATGTGGTCTACCTTGACTTCAGCAAAGCATTTGACACAGTCTCCCACAGCATCCTCACAGCTAAATTGAGGAAGTGTGGTCTGGATGATCAGGTAGTGAGGTGGACTGTGAACTGGCTGAAGGAGAGAAGCCAGAGAGTTGTAGTCTATGGGGCGGAGTCTAGTTGGAGGCCTGTAACTAGTGGAGTGCCTCAAGGGTCAGTACTGGGACCAGTATTATTTAATATATTCATCAATGATTTAGATGAGGGAATTGAGTGTACTATCAGCAAGTTTGCTGATGACACTAAGCTGGGAGGAGTGGCTGACACGCCAGAAGGCTGTGCTGCCATCCAGCGAGACCTGGACAGGCTGGAGAGTTGGGCAGGGAATAACTTGATGAAATATGACAAGGGAAAGTGTAGAGTCCTGCATCTGGGCAGGAACAACCCCAGGTTCCAGTATAGGTTGGGGAACGACCTGTTAGAGAGCAGTGTAGGGGAGAGGGACCTGGGGGTCCTAGTGGACGACAGGATGACCATGAGCCAACACTGTGCCCTTGTGGCCAAGAAGGCCAATGGCATCCTGGGGTGCATTAGAAGGGGGGTGGTTAGTAGATCGAGAGAGGTCCTCCTTCCCCTCTACTCTGCCCTGGTGAGACCGCATCTGGAATATTGTGTCCAGTTCTGGGCCCCTCAGTTCAAGAAGGACAGGGACCTGCTGGAGAGAGTCCAGCGCAGGGCAACTAAGATGATTAAGGGAGTGGAGCATCTCCCTTATGAGGAAAGACTGAGGGAGCTGGGTCTCTACAGTTTAGAGAAGAGGAGACTGAGGGGTGACCTTATTAGTGTATATAAATATATAAAGGGGGAGTGTCACAAGGATGGAGCCAGGCTCTACTGAGTGGCAAACAGTGATAGGACAAGGGGTAATGGGTACAAACTGGAACACAAGAGGTTCCACTTAAACTTGAGAAGAAACTTCTTCTCAGAGAGGGTGACAGAACACTGGAACAGGCTGCCCAGGGAGGTTGTGGAGTCTCCTTCCCTGGGGACATTCCTGTGTAACCTTATCTAGGTGTTCCTGCTCCGGCAGGGGGATTGGTCTAGATGATCTTTTGAGGTCCCTTCCAATCTCTAGAATACTGTGAAACTGTGTGAAACCTCTCCCACCAGTCCTCTTAAAGCAATATCAATCAGTCTGACATCTAAGATCTACATGATCTAGATATTGGCATCAAACAATTGGCCTTGATGCTGGGTAGTTTGATTACAATACTATGCTTGCATGATCAATTTCTATAATTTGGTTTTAGTTGTCAAAGTTTGCTGAATTTCCATATTTCACAGCTGCAAGGATTAACATCAAAATATTCATCAATTTTAAACCAAAGCAATGCAATTCACCTAAAATAATAACCCAAAAAATTTAGACCCTCTAGCCACAGATGCCAAAAACGGTGACAAGGCTTTCAAGGCCAAAATCAACCATTTAATGCTATCAATCTGGCCTAGTAAGCAGAGGATCTCTAGGAAACATCACACTAATGAAGGATTAATGTGAGCTCAAGTCCCACAGGAAGTAACATGACTCTGCTAGGACATTTATAAATTGAGTAGCTTGAACTAGGTCAAATGGGAAAGAGTTAAGATCTAGGTTTCAGTTTCCATGGCGATTAGAAGAAAAGAACTTGTCTGAAATACTGTTTGGACCATTAATGCTAATTTTTAGTATCCTTTGGAAAACGTGGGATATTTGAGAGGACAGAGAGAAACAAAAACAGGTTGGGGGGGGGGGGGTGTCTAAATCTGGTGACTGGAGTAACCATAATATTGTCAGTCTGTAACAGATCTCAAATAGAATGGCCAATACAAGACTCTGGCTAGAAAGAAATGGAGAGGGTAATATAATATTAATGACATGAATTTTCAGAAAACATTCTTGGACTAGTTTGATTTTTAATTGTAAGTTTATTGCTAACTAAGAACACGGATATAGCAGATTTTTGCGAGGCAGTTGACTTTTGATTAAGAAACATAAAATCAACATGACACATTAAGTGGGCTAGAGACTAATGGGCTTCAAAATGTAATTGCAGATGAGGCCAAACACTAAATAAATGCTTCCACTTATATCAATTAAATATAAACACAAAAAGGAATGGTTTCTTTTATCCCACCTTCAAGAGCTTGACCCTATGTTATTCAGGAGATTTGCCTATGCTCTGAAAAAAAGCACAGGAAGATTACCAAACAAATTTACAGATTAGAGTGATAAAAAAAAGGATCAGTGATAGAAAGCCATTTAGTTTGCCTGGTAAAGAAGAGTCAAGCAAAGATCATAGCTTTTAATATAGCTAAATATAAGAAAATACGCCTAAGCTACACTTAGTGGTTGGAAGCCTATCCTGAAAAGCAGGTATTCTAAAAGGTCAATGTAGAAAAACATTTGAAGGGAGATTCAGTGAGATACTGTGGGTAAACACAACTATGGAGATAATTTTGCTTTCAAATTTCCTCCAAAGCTAAAATTACACAAATGAGGCTTAGGTGGAAAACAGCAGACAACAGCTGGTAGCAGAAAGGACCACATGCTGAACAGAAGGTGCAAGAGGACCTGGGAGGCTGGCATGGGCAATAATCAAGCACATGAGTCTGATGTGCGCTCTGCCCTCTCTCCCTCCAAGTACAAGCAAATATATGAGGGAATGCTGACTCTGCAAGGTTCTAATTTTCTCTAGTTTTCCCCATAGTATCTGGATGCCGACTGAAACCTCAGGAGAAAAAACAAACCAAAACACACCACAGGAAAGACACAGTTAAAGAATACACTATTGGGGGGGGGGGGGGATGGTGGTTGGGACTGACCTAAACCATGAAGGCAAAAAATATGGAATGACCCAGCTAAAGGTCTGAGTGTGTAGCTTCTCCTGAAGAAGGAGACAGGACTTAGAAAATAAGCAAGTGTCATGGGTTCAGCAGTAGCAGTCATTTTTCCCCTTCTTGGTAGCTGGTGCAGTGCAGTGTTTTGACTTTTGGCCTGGGAACAGAACTGATAGTGATGTTTTGGTTTGGCCAAGGACTTTGTGAGCCTCATGCTCTGCCAGGGAGGAGGGGAAGCCGGGAGGAAGCAGAGACAGGACACCTGACCCAAACTGACCAAAGAGGTATTCCATACCACAGCACGTCATGCCCAGGATGTAACTGGGAGTTAGCCGGAAGGGCTGGGAGACTGCAGGGTTGGAGGAGGTATTGGTCAGTGCTTGGTTGGGCTGAGGGGGGCGAGTTATCGGTCGGCTGGTGCTGAGGTGTTGTATTCTCTTCCCTTGTTATTTCCTTTATCATTATTTTCATTGGTGGTAGCAGTAGTGATTTGTGTTATACCTTAGTTACTAAACTGTTCTTATCTCAACCCGTGGGAGTTTCATTCTTTTTGATTCTCCTTTCTGTCCCTCTGGGAGCAGGGGGAGGGCAAGAAAGGGGGAAGTGAGTGAACGAGTTACCTGACTGGGTTTAAACTATGACAGTTCTTTTTGGCGCCCAACGTGGGGCATGAAGGGTTGCGATAACAACAGATCTGACCGGATTAATAGTCATTCGTCACAATGCTGATTTATTGGCTCTCAGAGTTGTTCTTGTTGATCTCACAGCTTCAGACCGTTGTAACTTACTTAGAGCCGGTATTTGCTGTGTTAGTGTTTATCAAGTGTGGGGCTTGGGCTAAGGTTCTTGTCTCACTGTGCTTTATGGCAATGGCTTGTAATACGGGCGGGCTCCAGCAGCAGGGCGGGACGGACGTGGCCGTGGACTTGTACCTGGCCGTCCGGCTGCTCTTCACCGTCCTGGCCCTCACCCTACTCTCCATCTTCGTGAGGCTGCGGGGAGCTGAGGGGGAGCGGCCCCGGGAGCCGGCGGCAGCCGAACCGGCCCGGGAGAGCGGCCCCGGGGACCAAGCGGCGGAGGGAGAGGGGCCGGAGGCCGCGAGGGGACGGCTGCCGGTGGAGGAGGTCGGGGCGGTCGAGGAGAGGAAGGAGGCGGCTGCCGAGCAGCGGGAGAAGGCGGTGGAGGAGCCGAGCCCCGCGGAAGAGCCGAGCCCCGCGGAGGAGCCGAACCCCGCGGAGGAGCCCAGCTCCGCGACGGCCGAGAGCATCCCCCGGCAGCCGCCCGCCGAGCCCCAGGAGGATGCAGGAGACCACGCAGCATTTCCCAGCAAGGCAGAGGAGGAAGAGCTGGACTCAGGAAAAGAGAAGCTGGTGGTGGGAGAGCCGGCAAGCACAGCAGCTACACCAGCCCCAGTGACAAGTACAGCAGCATCGTTTGAGAGTTCTGAAGGTTTTGAATGGCCTTTGGGTATCCTTGGGACCTGCCTGCTGATTGTGATGGGGATCAGCATGTTGGCACACACACAGACTGTGTTCTACCCACAACCATTTTGTCTGATCTCAAAAGTTAAGCAGAGTCAGGTTTGGGTCTTGTCTGGGGTTAGACGAGGATATAGGGGGACCAGGAGATTTTCCCTAAGGCTGGACAGTCACGAGTGGCAGGGTGTGTGTGACAGTATGGGCAAGTATCTAGTCCACTGGGCCCCTCCAGTGCTTTGGAAGCATTGGAGATGGAAGGCAGCTGTATGGAGTCCCCAGCAACAAGCTGCAGAAACTGCTGAAGGGGACAGTGAATTATTTTGAGCCTGGTGGGCCCATGGCACTTCAGGTCATCAGAGCAGAGATGCAACACAGAGATGGACTCATGATCAAGGGGTGGACTTAGCAATGGACACTATTGCCCTAGTTATTCATGAGTGTGAACACTGCACACAGTCTCTCCTATTCTGGAAGACTGTTACAAGAGATGGAGCCTCACATCATGGACCAGATGGACACAGCAGCTTTATAGGGACTGGTCTGTGCACTAAGATAAGAGTGATGGTATATTGAAAATGTGGGATCTGAGCATGACGTGAATGGTATGGAATAAGGGGTGGATAATGTCATGGGTTCAGCAGTAGCAGTCATTTTTCCCCTTCTTGGTAGCTGGTGCAGTGCAGTGTTTTGACTTTTGGCCTGGGAACAGAACTGATAGTGATGTTTTGGTTTGGCCAAGGACTTTGTGAGCCTCATGCTCTGCCAGGGAGGAGGGGAAGCCGGGAGGAAGCAGAGACAGGACACCTGACCCAAACTGACCAAAGAGGTATTCCATACCACAGCACGACAAAGCATGACAAAGCTGAAGAATTACACCCCTGCCTCCCATTTTCCAAACCAGGGCTTTAACACTTGTGTTTAAAGCAGTCAGGTGTAATGGAGTCTGTTACAAATTCTGAGCAGGGGAGAGAGGTGCCACCTCCATCAATATGTGGCCCACAGCTGGGATTCCTCAGGTCCCACCTGACAGCAGCTGTCAGCAATAGTTACAGCAGAACTGTTGAACAGTTTAGCTATGATTCCAGCCACACTCAAGTCAGGTACAACATTACTTCAGCAGCTGTGATTAAACAATAGTTCTGATACAGGATATTTTAATAACACTAAGGGGAAATTTCTGCTACAAGAAACATTATCACAACAGGACCACATAGACATCTCCAAAACAAGTATCTTTCAACACAGCCCATCTGCCCGAGAGCCAGGATCCAGCAACAATGAAGAAATTTGTGGTTTTCTATCTACCACCTGACTCCCTCCAACATCAATACACAGCTTCAAAGTCCAAAGGGACACTGAAACAAAGCTGGATGGACAGAGAGGAATCAATGGAAAATGAAAACCAAATAGCTTTTAAATTATTTTGGACTCTAGAAATGAGGAGTTCTTATTTTTAGACTGCATGCAAGTATCTCAAGGTGCTTTTCTTTCATCCCCATGACAGCAGTTAAGTGAATACACCTGCCTCACCTCACTCCCTTCTGATGGTAAAGAGATCTTACATTTAAGTTATAACATGGAATACTTCAGAGCAGTCCTGTGCCAAAAAAGCACATTTCTGAGGAATGCAAAGGTATTCAATAAAAAGCTTTTAAAAGCATATTTTTAAATTTGCAGCAGGAAAGCTTTTCTGTGTCAAGACAATAATTCTTTTAAAAGCATTGATCAAAATGTCATTCTTTTATGAGTGTACAATACCTTTTAATGGCATACAACAAGTCATTAGGGTTATATACCTCAGTACAGCAGACAGCTTACTGGAAAATCAGGAACACTGGCCAAGGTAGTCCCAGCTCTGCTTCACCCAAATACCATGAGTAAAGTGATCCAAAAAATAAGTCGAACTACTCATCACTTCCACCAGAGTTATTTTCACCGTAACCCACACATTTTCCCCAAGAAATACCTCTTACAAACATGATGAATATTCTGGCTTTCTAAAGTGGGATTCTATCACCAAGGTCAGATCTGCTTCTTCATTTTCCTCACCAGTGGTCATACTTATCCCCAAATCACCACTGACTGATGAATCAAATGTGGCTGAATTGCACATAATGGTTTTGATTTTCAGAAATGGGAAAAAAGCTAACCTACCCTTTCCTAGCACTCTGAGGCCTGGGACAGAAACTGTCAACAAATCATCCAATTCTTTCCAAATGATCCAAACCTTCATAAAGGGAAGGGCACTGGTGATAGCATAGAATCATAGAATAGTTAGGGTTGGAAAGGACCTTAAGATCATTTAGTTCCAACCCCCCTGCCATGGGCAGGGACACCTCACACTAAACCATGTCACCCAAGGCCTCGTCCAACCTGGCCTTGAACACTGCCAGGGATGGAGCATTCACAACCTCCCTGGGAAACCTATTCCAGTGCCTCACCACCCTTACAGGAAAGAATTTCCTTCTTATATTCAACCTAAACGTCCCCTGTTTAAGTTTTAACCCGTTACCCCTTGTCCTATCACTACAGTCTCTAATGAAGAGTCCCTCTCTATCATCCCTTCAGATACTGGAAGGCTGCTATGAGGTCTCCACACAGCCTTCTCTTCTCCAAGCTGAACAGCCACAACATTCTCAGCCTGTCTTCATACAGGAGGTGCTCCAGTTGCCTGATCATCCTTGTGGCCCTCTTCTGGACTTGTTCCAACAGTTCCATGTCCTTTTTATGTTGAGGACACCAGAACTGGACACAGTAGTCCAAGTGAAGTCTCACAAGAGCAGAGTAGAGGGGCAGGATCACCTCATTCAACCTGCTGGTCACACTCCTTTTGATGCATCCCAGAATATAGTTGGCTTTCTGGGCTGCGAGCGGGATGGACGTGGCCGTGGACTTGTACCTGGCCATCACGCTGCTCTTCACCATCCTAGCTCTTGTCTTCGCCTCCCTCTTCGTGAGGCTGCGGGGAGCCGAGGGGGAGCGGTCCTGGGAGCCAGCAGCATCCGAGGAGGCCTGGGAGAGCAGCCCCAGGGACCAAGCTGCAGCGGGAGAGGGGCAGCAGGCCGGGAGGGAATGGCTGCCGGTGGAGGAGGTCGGGGAGTTCGAGGAGGCGAAGGAGGCGGCTGCCGAGCAGTGGGAGGAGGTGGTGGAGGAGCCCAGCCCCACGGCTGAGCCCAGGCCCGCAGCGGCCGAGAGAATACCCTGGCAGTTGCTCGCCGAGCCTCGCGAGCCTGAGCCCCAGGAGGATGTGGAGAGCAAGGTGCCAACTTTGGGAGCCTCAGCTGGGTCCAGCCTCAGGCACCCCGGACAAGTGGAGGATGCAGGAGACCACACAGCATTTCCCAGGAGGCAGAGGAGGAAGATCTGTACTCAGTAAAAGAGAAGCTGGTGGTGAGAGAGCTGGCAAGCACAGCAGGCACACCAGCCCCAGTGACAAGTACAGCAGTATCATTTGAGAGTTCTGAAGGTTTTGAATGGCCTTTGGGTACCCCTGGGACCTGCCTGCTGATCGTGATGGGGATCAGCATGTTGGCACACATACAGACTGTGTTTTACCCACCACCATTTTATCTGATCTCAAAAGTTAAGCAGAGTCGGGTTTGGGTCTTGTCTAGGGTTAGACGATGATATAGGAGGACCAAGAGATTTTCCCCAAGGCTGGACAGTCATGAGTGGCAGGGTGTGTGGGACAGTATGGGAGAGTATCTAGTCCACTGGGCCCCTCCAGTGCTCGGGAAGCGTCGGAGATGGAAGGCAGCTGTATGGAGTCCCCAGCAACAAGCTGCAGAAACTGCTAAAGGGGACAGTGAATTATTTTGAGCCTGGTGGGCCCATGACACTTCAGGCCATCAGAGCAGAGATGCAACACAGAGATGGACTCATGATCGAGGGGTGGACTTGGCAATGGACACTATTGCCCAGGTTATTCACGAGTGTGAACACTGCACACAGTCTCTCCTGCTCTGAAAGACTGTTACAAGAGATGGAGCCTGACATCATGGACCAGATAGACTCAGCAGCTTTATAGGGACTGTTCCATGCACTAAGATAAGAGTGCACTGAGATAAGAGAGATAGTATATTGAAAATGTGGGATCTGAGCATGACATGAATGGTATGGAATAAGGGGTGGATACTGTCCTGGGTTCAGCAGTAGCAGTCATTTTTCTCCTTCTTAGTAGCTGGTGCAGAGCTGTGTTTTTGACTTTCGGCCTGGGAACAATGCTGATAACACTGATGCTTTTAGTTACTGCTCAAATGTTTAGACTGACCAAGGACTTTCTGAGCCTCATGCTCTGCCAGGGAGGAGGGAAAGCCGGGAGGAAGCAGAGACAGGACACCTGACCCAAACTGACCAAAGAAGTATTCCATACCACAGCACATCATGCCCGGGATGTAACTGAGAGTTACCCAGAAGGGCTCGTTCACTGGGGGGTTGGACTAGGTATCGGAGCTATCAGTCAGTGCTCGGGCGGGTGGGGTGGAGTGAGCTATGGATCGGTGGGTGGTGAGGTGTTGTATATTCTTCTCTTGTTATTTCCTTTATCATTATAATTATTGGTGGTAGCAGTAGTGATTTGTGTTATACCTTGGTTTACTAAACTCTTCTTATCTCAACCCCTGGGAGTTGCATTCGTTTGACTCTCCTCCCCGTTCCTCAGGGAGCAAGAGGAGTGCAAGAAGGGGAGAGGGGTTGTGAGAGAGAGACTGCATGACTGGGTTTAAACCACGACACCCCACATAGAACAGCTGTGCAGTTCTGCAAGGGGCTAACTGAGACAAGAGGGGGCACAAAATTACAAAATGGAATATATAAACCTTTAGAATCAGTTCTAACTAATGTTGTTTCATGGCTTTGAAACAGTAGCAATGGAAAATTACTGAGGTGCATGATACATAGAAAAAAAGAGTACAGCTAGAGAACATACTGAGAATTCTTGTACAAGATAAATCGTTATAGTTGACATAGTTTTAAGAAAAACAGTCTAGAAGAACAGGACACAGGGACAAGGAGTATCTGGGAATGGCAGGTGTCCAGGATGGGCTACAGTTAAACTAACTGATAAGTAGGAGGACAGGAGGATTATTATGTCTGTGGTGCTAACAAAGCAATTAAGCTGGTATAAGAAACTACTGCGGGTGCTCCAAAGGCTGCCAGAAGTGATGAAGATTGTTGGAAGAAGTAAACGACCCTCAGAGACCACCACCACAGTTCTGTATGAATGCAGGGAACTTTCTGGAAAATGATGTAATCCGTATGTAGCCTCATGAATATGTATGTATGCCCAGGGACTATATAAGGACGGCTTGTGTAGCAATAGGGGAACACATGTTAGGAGGAACTATCCCCCATGTCTCCAGCAAAACAATAAAGAATACCTGCTTGTCAGCTTGAAAACTTTGTTGGCAAGTTTGTTCCTGGAGTTTTCTCCGAATCATAATGAAGAAACACACTCGCAACATGAACAACTGGCTGATGCACTGGTAAAGAAGACTACTACTGGTTCTGCCAGGAAAAATTGGCGGGTCATAGTAGTAGGGGACTCTACTTTGAAAGGCACAGAGGCACCCATCTGTCGGCCTGACACAGTCTCAAGGGAGGTGTGCTGCCTACCAGGGGCTCCGATCAGGGATGTTGCCGAGAGGCTCCTTGGTCTAATAAGTCCCACTGACTATTACCCACTTCTAGTCGTCCATGTGGGTGCAAGTGATATAGACAGCAGGAGCCCGGAGAACATCAGTAACGACTACAGAGCCCTGGGAGAGATGGTTAGGGGCTCTGGAGTTCAGATAGTCTTTTCATCAATTCTTCAGGATAAAGGGGAGGACCTTAAAAAGGCTAGGTGGTTTGGCAGATTAATAAATGGTTAGAACAGGGGTGCCATAGTCAGGGGTTTGGGTATCTAGAATATGGGATCATGGGACTCAATTTGGGAGGCCAGGTCTACTGGAAGCTGGTGAAGCTGGTCAAAGGGGAAGAGCTGTTTTGGTAGGATGCTTGCCCAGCTAGTCAAGAAAGCTTTAAATTGGATGTGTTGAGGGAGGAGGTATCATTCCATCCCAGCACTCCCCAGTCAGTTGCCAGCACCTATAATAAATGCTTGGAGCAATGTAGAGATATTCCAGCTGCTCCAGCCAATGAGCCAGCTTCATTTGGAGCTTGGCTCAAATGCCTCTATACAAAGGCCTGTAGTACAGGGAACAAACAAGAATTAGAGATGAAAGGCATGGCAGACAGGGAGGGGGAGTTGCTATTTATGTTAGGGATAGGCTGGAGAGTATGGAACTCTGTCTGGGGACAGGTGATCAGTTAACAGAGAGTTCGTGGGTCAGGGTTAAAGGGAGAACAGTGATGTGAGACATTATTGTGGGGATCTGTTACAGACCGCCTGATTAAGAGGACTCTGTGGATGAAGCACTCTATAGACAGAAACAGCCTCACGCTCATAGGCCCTTGTTCTCATGGGGGACTTCAACCACCCTGATACCTGTTGGAGGGATGGTTTGGCCTGGCACCAGCAATCCAGGAGGTTCCTAGATTGTGTAGAAGACAACTTCCTTCTGCAAGTAATAGAGGAGAGGTGGCATTCTTGACCTCATGCTTGCCAACAGGGAAGGGCTGGTTGGAAATGTAATGCTCCAGGGCAGCCTTGGTTGAGTTCTAGATCCTCAGGACACTGAGAAGAACGTGCAGCAAGCTCACTGCCCTGGACTTCAAGACAGCAGACTTTGGCCTCTTCAGGAACCTGCTTAGTAAGGTTCCATGGGATATAGCCCTAGAGGGCAGGGGGCCCCAAGACTGTTGGTTGATATTCAAGGATCTGCTACTACAAGCTCAGGAGTGTTGCATCCCAACTAGAAGAAAGTGCAGCAGGAAGGCCAGGAGACATCCTTGGATGGATAAGGAGCTGCTGAGGAAACTTTGAGGGAAAAAAAAGAGGCTTATAAAAGGTGGAAACAAGGACAGGTGGCTTGGGAAGAATACAGGGATGTTGTCCAGGAAGCAAGGGAGCAGATTAGGAAACCTAAGGCCCAGTTAGAATTAAACTTGGCTAGGGATGTGAAAGATAACAGGAAGGGATTTTGTAGTTACATTGCAAATAAAAGACAGACCAGGAACAATGTGGGCCCTCTGCAGAAGCTATCAGGAGACCTGGCTACCCTGGATTTGGAGAAGGCTGAGATTCTTAATGACTTCTTTGCCTCAGTCTTCACTGGCAAATGCTCGGACCACACCACCCAAGTCTTGGAAGGTAGACATGGGGACTGTGAGAATGAAGACCTTGTGCCCACTGTAGGAGAGGATCTGATTCGAGAACATCTTAAGAACCTGAACTTGCACATGTCCATGGGACCTGATGAAATCCATCTGCGGGTCCTGAAGGAGCTGGCGAATGAAGTTGCTAAGCCACTGGCCATCGTATTTGAAAAATCATGGCAGTCAGGTGAAGTTCCCGATGACTGGAAAAAGGGAAATATAACCCCCATTTTCAAGAAGGGGAAAATGGATGACCCAGGAAACTACAGACCAGTCAGTCTCACCTCAGTGCATGGCAAAATCTTGGAGCAGATTCTCCTGGAAAGCATGCTAATGCACATGTAAAACAAGGCAGTTGGTGACAGCTAGCATGGCTTCACTAAGGGGAAATCCTGCCTAACGAATTTGGTGGCCTTCTATGATGGTGCTACAGAACTGATGGACAGGGGCAAAGCATTTGACATCATCTACCTGGACTTTTGCAAAGCATTCAACACTATCCCTCACAACATCCTTGTCTCTAAACTGGAGAGATATAAATTTGATAGATGTACAGGGGGGTAGTACAGGGGGGTTGTACAAGGGGGTTTTACAGGGGGGTTGTACAAGGGGGTTAGAGGAATTTGCTTGTCCATCTGTTGTAAATGCCTGCTAAGCAGAACAGAGACCTCCGGTCCTGTTGATAAGGAAAGCAGATGCCTGAATCTACTGATAAAGGGGAGAAGCTGATGATTTACGGCTGGGACACTGACCAACTCTAAGGCCACACGTGAAGACTAAAAAGGTGAAAAGTGCAAGAAGAGGAAGGCTCGTTTACTTCATCTTGAAGACCCCTACCCAGAGGAGGAAGACTCATTTACTTCATCTTGAGACCCCTGCCCATGACCAGAGGGGGCACTGCGCAGGTGCAGAGGACCTTCTGGCTCATTATAACACGAAGCGGGGATAGGACATGAATATGTATAGGCGTGTTGTGCAACCTTATGAATATCTATAACTTTAGAGAATAAATGTAGAGGGAAACAACACTGAGGCACGCATGACTTTGAGGAATTATCCCTATGCGACTCAGCACTGAATAAAAGCATACCTACTTTACAACTTCTAACGAGTTGTGGAGTTTATCCGTGCATCAACACACTTTTGAGGTGGGCTGATGCCAAACTTATGAAGTTTAATCATGCCAAGTGCAAGGTCTACACCTGGGTCGGAGCAATCCCAGGCACAGCTACAGGTTGGGCAGAGAAGAGATTCAGAGCAGCCCTGTGGAGAAGGACTTGGGGGTGTTGGTTGATGAGAAACTGAACATGAGCCAGCATGATCCTGCCCCTCTACACTGCTATCGTGAGACCTCACTTGGAGTATTGTGTCCAGTTCTGGTGTCCTCAACGTAAAAAGGACATGGAACTGTTGGAACAAGTCCAGAGGGAGGCCACAAGGTTGATCAGGGGACTGGAGTGCCTCCTGTATGAAGACAGGCTGAGAAAGTTGGGGCTGTTCAGCCTGGAGAAGAGAAGGCTGTGTGGAGACCTCATAGCAGCCTTCCAGTATCTGAAGGGGGGCTATAAGGATGCTGGGGATGGACTATTCATTAGGGACTGTAGTGGTAGGACAAGGGGTAATGGGTTAAAACTTAAACAGGGGAAGTTTAGTTTGGATATAAGGAAGAAATTCTTTACTGTTTAGGGTGGTGAGGCGCTGGAATGGGTTGCCCAAGGAAGTTGCGAATGCTCCATCCCTGGCAGTGTTCAAGGCCAGGTTGGACAGAGCCTTGGGTGACATGG